GGCCTAGGCCAGTGGATTGCTCAAGGTCAGGAGTTCAAAACCAGCCTTAGCGAGACCCTGTCTCTACTATAAAAATAGAAAGAAATTAATTGGCCAACTAATATATATATATATATAAAAATTAGCCGGGCATGGTGGCGCGTGCCTGTAGTCCCAGCTACCTGGGCAACAAAGCGAGACTCTGTCTCAAAAAAAAAAAAAGAACGATCTTCTAATGCACCAATGTGAAGACACAACATCATAATAATGTTAGTTCAACACATCAGAAAGGCTGCCTTCCATCCCACAGGTTCATAGCATCATTGCAGACCTGAAGTGAGCCTTATAATCTACTCCAGAATGTCCCAAATTGTTCAACAGGATACTGCTCAGATCAGAGGCTTTGTCGGAAGTGGTGATAAAAATCAGACCTAATTAATCTGCCTAAATTACTGTAGAGAGTGCTCAGTCAATATTGAAGAGAGATATAATATTCACTACTTACCAAGCTTATTTGGCCACTGAATCTTAAAAAGTTTTGAAAATGCTAATATGTAAATGCCCAATCCATGCATATTACATATAGGGCAATTAAAGCCAGGGAAGGTAAGTCATTTACTTAAAGTCACAGCTAATTAGTACTCAAACTATATCTACAGTTTAGGGTCTCTTTACTGCAAATCCACTCAATCACTCTGATTCTCCCAAGATCTAAAAATACCTCCAAATTTTTTTTTAAGGTCAACTTTCAAAAGACTATTAGACTTGTTCTCTTTTTTGCTCTATACCTTTCATTTTACTAAATATCAGTCTGGCAACATCTTCTGGGTTAACAAATTTTGTTTCTTCTCCAGTATCTATTGCGTATCGTAATTTCCCATTTTTTTCAATGACCTATAAAAGAAATAATTGTGCTAAATAAGAAATAATTTTAATAAAAATGCAAAGTTTCAAATCAACATTATATGCCATGACCTTGGCAGTTAGTTTGTGTAACAGGGAAGCAATAACAGACCCATACTCACTGAACATTTACTTTCCGTGATGTATTTCTGAGCTTGTGGATCATCAGAACTGTCCATAAAGAAAAATAAAGATAGCTAGGTATTAAAATCAGTACAATAGATATATAAGGTTTAAAGATTGTAATTTTCAGTATCACTGGAATATTAAAATATAAATAAAATTATTTTTATTTATATTGCTGCATAATGCTAACATAGTCTTAAAATATTTACATGATAATATTTTCATTGAGAAATGGAGAACTATATCATAGTTAATTCTACTAAAGCACTGATCTTTGAATATGAAAGTAAACAGCTCTTTCTTGTTCTGACCTTGCTAATAACAGATACTATATGTTTTGCGGTGACTTTTCATGATATAATTAATTTTATGTCATATTCTTTCACATCTGTGATCCTAAGATCCAACCACTGAGATGAAAAGGACAAAAGGAGATAACAAACCAAGGACAAACCAAAATAGCTAAGACCATCTTTGTTGCCTGGTTTCCAAATATAAATCAACATCAAAAACCAGAAGACAGCGTGAACATATAAATGCTGTAAATGGAAATGTGCAAAGTTCTACAGATATTCATATATATAAATTCATAATAATGTCCCAAAGTAATAAATAAATGTATAAGGCAAAAAATTAAAACAATGGGTACTATGTTGCTAAAATTGGAAATACCAATTTATGCAGAGTACGAAATGTTTTCACATATTTCACTTTATCCTCATGACACCAAAGTGGGGCACGTTTGGCAGCTATTATTTCAGATTGAAAAAGGTTCAGAGAGGGGTAACGACTTATAAGCACATAAGAGGCAAAGCCAGCACTTGAGCCCAGTTCTTCTCTATCAGGCTACTATTGTTTACACTTTACCATCCTGCCTCCCACTGACACTATCAATGATCACAGTACTTCTGCCTCTTGAGCAAGAATAGAAATCTGATCCTTGGCTTAATTTCATCCAGAAATTAAGATGAAATAGACTAGCACCCTTCCACTAAAACTAAACCCTTCTTTCAAGGAGCTGCGACTATTCTACTTGGAGATATTAATGTTCAGTAAAAGGAGCTGAAAATTAATAATAGCTATAATATAGCAATAATAATAGCAATAATAGCTAATTGCTGAAGGGTTACAGGACATCTGAGGACCTTAACCTGTGTAAGTATAACAGGCAAAGGAAAGGACTAATGGGTTAATTGGCTTAGAACTCCGGAGTATTTGCAGGTTGCTCATACTTCCTTCTCTATCACCTAAAAAATCAATTAATAGGAGACAAAACAGATAAGTAGCTTGTCCAAAGTCACACAGATAATTAATCTTCAACACCAAATGTAGTGTTCTTTCCACTAAACCCTCTGCTCCCTTTTTCTAAACTCAATACTTACACTATATCCCAGTCAAATATTTTAAGATTATGAAAAAAGTATGTAGTGTGCTCACAGTGGGTTGTGCAGTAGTGTTAGGTTATTAAGTATGAAATGTCCGATTTCCTTACGTAATAAGTTTGACAACTGTCATCCCTGACATTTCACTTTGACACCTCTTGTTTTATTTTTATTGTGAAGGTACATCATCAGTCTTGCAAAAGCGTCATTGGGCTTGTGATTATCTTTGTAATTTTTTTTTACAGTAATTTTTGTGAAACCATGCTAAGTCAAAAATTTGTGTTATTTTTGAATGTGACTTCTGTATGGAACCAATATACTGCAGACAACTCAAAATATCAACAAAGTGTTTTGGAAGAATGCAGCTAATAATGAATGTACAGTACATCAATGGTTTGAGAAGTTCTGTTCTGGTGATTTTAATCTTGAAAATGAGTCCGTGGGCGGCCTGAGAACAAGGTGGACAATGAACAGAAAGCTGTAGTGGAAGTGAATCCATCAACTTATGTGTGAATCAACAGCAAGGTCTGACCTTACCATTCCAACAATATTGGGCCATTTGAAACAAATGGGCAAGGCAAAGAAGCTGGATAGATGGGTTCCACATGAATTAAACGAGCACCAGAAGAGACACCTTCTCGAAGCTTGCCTTTCTTTGCTGTCACAATATAAACGAAACATTTCTACACCATATTGTTATGTGTGATGAAAAATGGATTCTTTTTGACAATCTCAAGTGTTCGACAATGGTTTCATAAAGATGAAGTGCCGAAACATGGTCTAAAACAGAATATTCATCAAAAACAGCTAATAGTGTCTGCCTGGTGATCCAGATCTGGTATTATCCACTACAGCTTCATTAAACCTGGTAAATTGATTACAGTGGATGTCTACTGCTACCATTTGGACGAAATGAGTATGATTGCAATTAAGCAGCCGAGATTGGTCAATAGAGACAGGACAATCCTTTTACAAGACAATGCTCGACCACATGTCAAACAAACAATACTGCTTAAACTACAGAGGCTGGACTTGGAAACTCTCTGTCATCCACTATATTCAGACCTTGCACCAACCCACTACCACTACTTCCAGGCTTTGGCCCATTTCTTGCAAGGAAAAATATTCAGTTGTCAACAGTCTGCAGAAAACACCTTTCACAATTTCATCACCACTCGCTTCTTGGGCTTCTTTGCTGCTGGCATGAACAAGCTACTGTTAAGACGGCAAAACTGTGTCGATAGTTTAGGCACACACTTTGTACTGCTTCTTGTTTGAGATATAATAAATTACACTTTCAATTCAAAATTGGACATTTCATATTTAATGACCTAGTATAATTCCAGCATGATACTTCCTGGTTCTGTTTTCTTTAAAATAGAATTTAAGTCAATCGGGATGATTTATCCTTTCTGTGTAGGTTCTCTACTACTCAAGACAATTTGCCAGGAAGAATATTTTATGGAATTCATACAACTATTAAAAATGGCGAATTACTTCTGAACTGCCATGCAAAGAGGGCTCTCTCATCTCAGGACAGACAGCACATGTAGAGCTGAGGGCCATATACAGACCAGACACTGGAGAGTAATTACTGGACAGGTAGAAAGCAGAGAATGGAGGTGACAAAGGATCACAGCTATCATCAGAAAGTAGTGGACTGACCCACAACCACATACAAGTAAAAACTTTATTTGTCCACACCAGGATTAAATTACTGAACATAAGACAAAGGTGGTAGGGGGTTGGTATACACAGCACCACATTTACATCATGGTCTTGAGGAGGCAGAGTTAATCCTACCACTGCATCACAATCGGTATCAGCAATGCCATTTTCTCTTCGTCCCCCTTCTTAGGCATCCCTTACAGTCAGCTGCACTCAAGTGCTCTCGGATCTCCTTCCTTATGGTTACATGACAGCACCTTACACGTCCTAAAAGCACCCTCACAACACCCCTGTGAGGTAGGTAATTATGAGTTTTCTACATTGTAGACAAGGAACCTGAGTTACAGAATGGTGGAAAGGCTGTCCAAAGAGGTACAGGTATAATGGCTGGGCCTATCGCATCAGCAGATTCCTGGCTTGCTTTCTTGCACTGTCTCCCAGTATTGCAACTTCCCTCCCCTTAATATTTCTAGTGTATTTTTCTGTCTACTTCTGCAGGCCCTTTCCCTTGAGTTTTATTCCCATGTTCAGGTCACTTTACCCATTAGATTTTCATAATACTACCTCTGAATTCGAACTCCAGTTCTGCTCCTCAGCACTTCACTCATCTCTAAGACATTCCTGCCTAAGTCCTTTGTTACCATTATTAGGTTTATATAGTACGGTTCCTTTTTTTTTTTTTTTCGAGACAGAGTCTCGCTTTGTTGCCCAGGCTACAGTGAGTGCCATGGCATCAGCCTAGCTCACAGCAACCTCAAACTCCTGGGCTCAGGTGATCCTTCTGCCTCAGCCTCCCGAGTAGCTGGGACTACAGGCATGCACCAACATGCCCAGCTAATTTTTTGTATATATATTTTTAGTTGTCCAATTAATTTCTTTCTATATTTAGTAGAGACGGGGCTCTCACTCAGGCTGGTTTTGAACTCCGGACCTCGAGCAATCCGCCCGCCTCGGCCTCCCAGAGTGCTAGGATTACAGGCGTGAGCCACCGTGCCTGGCCTATAGTACAGTTCTAACTATCCTTCAAGTACTTCCCTGTTTTTCCAGAAAAATCTACCTATCTATAATAGCATTATCCAGTTATAACTGACATATACCTTTCCATATAGTGACCTAAGACAATTGAGAAAATGTATATATCTGGATCCATTTCAAGGCCATAATATATGCCCTTTTATAAAAGCAAGGAATCTGTGTGTCTGGTGTGGTGCTTAGAAGCTCATCAGTATATTAAGAAACACTAGTACCATAGAATGCTACCTTACAATCGTTACCGGTATTTCAAACATACATTAATATGCTGCTATGACTGAAAGTATTACAATTAAATTCACTTCCACTTCGCCTTTTTTAAATTATGCTATTTAAAAGATTTTTAGAACTGGAAGGTACTAGAAAAAAGTCAACTAGTACAAGTCCCTCAATTTAGAGACGAAGAAACCGAGGCATGCAAAGGGCAAGGGATTTGGTTGATGAAACGAACTATGGAAGGTTTGGGATCCAGGCGTTCTAACTAGATTCCAGCGTACTCTATCACTCCAGCTGCCTCCCTCCGCCACCACACATTCACTGAGCAGCATGCCTGCCTGCCATCTATTCATGGTTCTGGGTATGGTCCCACTGTTGTTTTGACCATTTCTCCATCCACTCGCATTTCCAGTATTTAGCTAAGCACCCACGCCTGCAAAATATAAAACCTCACTTCTCCCAACATGCCCACTTTTTTCCCCCAGCTTCTAGACTGTAGGGAAGCTTTATAAATCACAAAGATTTCTATTTGTATGTCCTGAAAGTACTAAGCAAACCACTAAAAGCTTTAAGTTAGTTTAATGACGGCTAGTACTGGCTTTCCTTCTAAAGTAAAGTGGAAGTTTGGCGTTATCACCTTCATCTCTTCCAAAGAAGTGGGGGGAGGGATAGGAGTGGTGCATTTGTTGAGGGCTTGTGCTTAAAAGGAGTCCTCTATTCCAGGCAGTCTTTACCCACACCACCCTCTGGTGTTTCCAAAGCTAAAGGGGAAATAATGCTGTTCTCTTCCACCGTACTCCATTAACTACATCAAATTTGGCTGCAATGCTTGAGAAAAAGTGACCTTGGAAAGTTCCTTAGAAGGAAAGTTTTCTAGGGCTTTCCCTCTGTAACATACTAGACAAAAAACAGCTAGCAGAAAAGAATGAAATTAGCTAAAAGAAGATTGGAAACTGATATAATAATCTGAATGGTTTCCATAATGCTCAAATGGCAACCAAAATTTAAAGCTACAACTTAGGCATATAGAGGGACCCAAATACTATGGAATGCAAAGAATTTACTTACATTTTCAATAAAACAGCCAATATTTAATTATATCAAAAGATTACCCATATGAACCATAACATACTACTGTGACTCCCTGTTGGTTCTTAATTATATCCTTATGTTGACAGGAGACTGAGAACTAGTAAAATGAAGGGGGGAAAGATGGTCTGACTGCTTAGTAGTAGGTATGTCAAAGACATAGCAGTGAAAATGTAAGAAAATGCAGTGCTAACACTAGCCTGAAGAGCCACAGAGGGATTTATAAAATTAAGATCCCAAACTCCATGAAAGCAGTCAAGTTAAACCAGTGAAAAAAGATTCAAGCAATGAGGTCATGGTATACAGCCACACTTGTGTCTTGTAAACTAACGTGCCTCACCATGGCCTTACCAAGCAGCCAAGGTCAGATGTGTTAATAACTTAAATGTCTATAGTGCTTTTAAACTCTTTCACATCTATTAGTCATTTGACCCTCACAACAACCCTGTGAGGTAGGCAGGGGAGGAGTTATTATCATCCCCATTTTACAGATGAGGAAAACTGTTGTAGAGAGGTAAACTAAATTGCCTTACATCAGAGACAAAGCCCAGGTCGAACTAGCTCTCTTGGACTCGGCTCCATCCATTTTCTATTAGGCCACCCCTCACATTTCTGAAAGGTCTTACAATTAGTGGAGAATCTTGGGGAAAGGTACTAGCAAGTATATTCCTACCACTCTGCACATTAATGGTTCATCCACTCTTTTTCTCTGAGGACACAGAAAAGGAGCCAGAATCCTAGAAAGTATTGAAACTAGACTTCTACCAGTTTAGGAAATAAACTTTTGTTATCAGTTCCTAGCTTTTGGTGTTCGAAATCAACCTCTGAAGCAATTTTTCAAGGCCTAGCTGAAAAGCACCAGTTGCTTCTTCCACTGCTGTCGCCAAACGTCTGACCGCGATGACAGCGTCCCTGCGGAGCTCATTGGCAGTGTCTTGCTGAGCACTGGCCTCCTCACCAATAGCAATCAGCCTGTCCAGTTTTTCTTCCTCACGCTTTGAAAGTTCTCGTGCCAATCTCCTGTTTTCTGCCAACTCGGCTGCAATGGTCCTGGCCACTGACCGCCTTCTTCGCCTTGCCCACCTTGGAGGGGGCTCACTGGTCAAAGGCCTATCCCCACCAGAAACAAAACCAACTCTGGGAGAGGAGACCGGAGGCCGTGGTGCGGAGGCTGCACCAGGAGTGTTGCGGCTGGTGCTGGTGCAGGGACCGGGCTCCCCGGACACACCCAGTCTGGTCATGGGGCTGCTCTGACAGGGAGCAACTGCACCTCTGAAAAGGTTGTGGGAGTTGCTGTAGGTGGGGGTCCCTTGAGAGCACCCTGAAAAACAAAGCAACAATGTTGCAAAGAGGACATTCCCACTAAGGGAATGCTTGCAGCCAGCAGCAGAGTTGACAGACAATTACGAAACTATGGCAGTTCCTAGAAAGGTCCCTTTCTGCCAGGGATTGGGAAGAATTCATTTCTTTAATGTGGGCATTTTGGCCTGTTTAATCTTCCCTCCAGAACTTCCCCTTGCCTTCTGTAACCCCTTTCCAAGTAGCTATACAACCTGCTCTTTAGCTACAAAGCACTAAGTACCCATTACAAATAATGCCAGAACTAGTTTGGTTCTAAAGAGCACTTCTAGGTTCTAAGAGTTCTAATACCTTACCTACCTAGGACCATAGCTTTTTAAAACCTAGAGGTTTTATCTTACTAATAGGTTTAAAAAGGGGAGGGCACAAGGGGTAGCAGAAGTAGGGAATATGCTCAGGAGAGCACTAGCCAAATATACACTGCTGTTTAGAACCAAGTGACTCGGGGACCCCAATCCCTCACATGCTTGGGAGTTACCTGCACCCGGGGATTCATCCCAGGAGTCCTCGAGGTCACTGGTTTCTCGTATCCGGTCACTGATTCTCAGCTGACAATCCTCATCTGATTCCTTAACTGTTTTCAAGATAGGCTGAAGATCAGCTGCCTGAGTCCTTTTTGCTTTCAGAATGCTGGTTCCCTCTTCCCCTGGGGTGTCAGAGGCCACTAAGGTCTGATCACAGTGCTTGGCCCAAGCAGCATCCTCCATTAAGTTGTCTGGGTCAGTCACTATCTGATTTCGGAGAAGCTGATCCAACGTATCATAAAAAGGACAGTGTGGTGGGTCACCCATACTTGTGGCATGGGCCACGTAGGCCTTTAAATATAACGCCTTCAGAACTTTAAACTTGGAGCGGCACTGACGTTCGGTGCGGCGGAAGCCTTCCTGCTGCATTCGCTTAGACACAGCCTGATAGACATCTGCATTATGATGCACAGTCTGGAGGCGCTGAATATACTCTGCCTCACCTAGTATGGAGAGGAGAGTTCGTGTCTCCTGTCTGGACCACCGGATGCCCGCACTGCTATTGGTACTGGCCATGGTACGTTGGGAAGGAAGGCTGGAAAGCTCCTGTGCAGCAAGGTGCAAATCTGAAGGTGTGGGGAAGCTCTGTGTGTTCTCAGTGTATTTCCAGGAGCCAGCCGATTCTTCCCTCTCAGGGACAACTGCTGAGAAGCCAGGTCCAAGGACTGAATTTCTGGCTGGAAGGCCACAGGGGAATGAGAGTTACAGGGAGAGTGTAAGGATAATTTTGGCAGCAAGTTAAGTGGTGCTACCTGTGAGTAAGTCATACATAGGCAGGAGGCCAAGACTGAGAAAGCTCCATTTTGGGAGGCTGCCCAGGGTGGATACTGGACCAGGGGCTTAATGGCTTGGTAACAAAAGGACTGGCTCCTCCACAAAGGGCCAAATGCTTCTAAGGCTGAGACCTGGTACAACTATGAATCTGTAAAAATCACCATTGACTGGTGAGTAGCATAGGCTGAGAGGGAAAGCAACGTGGACCAAGAGGCAGCTAACTTTGGAGAAGCCCAAGAAAGACCATGGTATAGCAACGGTCTAAAAGGCGCTCATGCTTTACTGACCTTTACCTAAGTAGCACACTGTGGCTGTGTTACCCATCTGACTGTCACTATTCTACTCCTTTGCTAAAAGGTAACTTTGAGGGCTATAAAATTGAGCTTGAGTTGTTCTGCTAATGTAAGACTTTTTGCATAATATGGCAAAAGACAGCCACATCATTACTGTAACCATCTGCCCCCAAATAGCAGCCTAAAACTAAGAAAAACATTGCTATGGGAATGTTCTATATCTGGCTATATCAATGTCAGTATCTTAGTTGTGATACTGTACTACAGTTTGTAGATATAACCACTGGGAATTAGTAAATCGAGTAATATACCAGAAGTCTTTTATTTCTTATAGCAGCATGTAAGACTATGATTATCCCCAAATAAAAAGTTTAATTAAAAAAAAACCAGACACACTGTTGGCTACTAAGTGATTCTAGCTTCCTTTTGTCCAGACTCCAGACTTTATGATTTAAAAATATTTGACCAACTATTTTATTTTGAGACAAGATCTCATTCTAATGCCCAACCTGAGTGCACTGCGATCATAGCTCCCACTCAAACTCTTGGGCTCATGCAATCCTCCTGCCTTAGCCTCCCAAGTAGCTGAGATTATAGGCATGAGCCACTGTGTCCTGCTTACTAACTTAATTTTTAACGTGCTTAGTACTAAGTTTATCAATAGGTAAAGGGATATGGGAATATATTTATTGTCACAAAATACTGAATTCTCTCTAAAATACTATAGTTTTTGGCTTAGTCCATAAATATCCTAAGGAAAAAAATTAATATCAAGCTCAATTTAACAGCCGTAAGAGATCATAAAAATATATACGTAAAAGAAATAAATATTAATCTATAATCTCCAAATCCTAAAATCAACATGAGGAAATTTCTATTTAAATTTCTCACTAAACAAAGTAGAAAAGAAACTGGGGCTGAGGGTTAGGAGAACTGAACTGCAATCTTACCTAGTTCACTCTTCCTAATTATTTTAGAAATGCAACATTTCTTTTAGCCTTGATTTTCTCATCTATAAATGGGGAGAAATATTACTTGTCCTACCAATTTTACAGGCATGTTGAGAGGATTAAATAATAGATGTGAAAACACTTTGAAAATTTAAAAACACTCTATCAAGTATTGCTACTGTAGTGAAAAGGAAAACCCTTAATTACCATAATCTATAATTTGAGGAGACAGAAGTCTGGAGAGGCAAGCCTCTTTAATCTTCTAATTAAAGTTACAACAGATGATTGACCTGATTCTTACATAAGACATTAATTAAAAGCTGTTTCTCTAATGATTAAATGTGTAAGCCAACTGGAAAAGTTACTTCCCAGAAAGTGTCACAAAAGCCCCTAAGGAAAATCAATAGCATCTATATAAATTATAACCAATTTGAATAGGTTTTGCAAAATTCAACCACAGTGCCAAGAACTCTTCAAATTCCCACAAAACCTTTGAATTTCCCTTAGTCAAAAAAAAAAAATATGAAAATGTGAAAAGTCTAAGTTATTACCTAGGAATGACGCAAATTATCAAAATTAAATGAACTTTTGTTGGCATTTATCAACACTAACAGATCTGTCAGTAAGAAATGTCTGAGTGAATTCCATCCTTTAGAAGATCCAATAATAATAATCAAAAGAAACAGCCTATTGGAATATTCTCTGAAATGACTCAGTCATAAAAAGCATCAAAAAAACCAAACTATGGTGTTCCCAAGTTTCATTTCATATTATATTTAGAATTTATGAACATGTTTTTATTACCATATTTAAAAGTATAATTTTGTTCCATACCTTCTGCCAAGGATCTGCTTTACTTTCATTACTGTATTTGAAATATTTCGTATTCTGCTTTGTTTTGCTGCCAGTCCAACAATCTGAAAAGGAGTAATATATTACAATCCATGTAATGTTTTAATTATTTCAAAGTATAAAAATAAGGAGAATAATACCTCTTCCTTTTCTGCGTAAGCTACAACGGCTGGAGTAACTCTGTCACCTGCATCATTTGCAACTACATCAGCCCGGCCATCCTAGAGAGAGAAAAAAAAAAAGCACAACTGTATTAGTTCTTTTGAAATGAAATATACAGTCATATTAGACATATTCTGACATATGTGGGCCAGCGTTACTTTGCCACCTATGTGGCAAGAAAAACTGCTATATCAACATCTTAAAGTTGTATATTTAATTATTATTAATTCCCTAGTTTTTACAGTAGGTCTGCATTCCCTGAGGAATGGCCTCGCTTTTTTTTTCAGTCTGCTCTGCACAGTCAACAATTGGATCAAACATAATAACCTTTCTATACACAATAAAAAGCCTATTATTACATTATCATCCTACTTCTCTTCCTTCTCCCACAAATACATCTTTCTTCCCTTTTATACAAATAAAGTAGCACCAATCCCTTTGGCTTTTCTTTACAGACCAACGGAGATTTAAACGCGGGAGTAGTAGCAGGGGAGCTCATTACTACCGTTCCTTCCGCCTCCCCACTGGTGAGAGGAAGGCCACAGCTCCGTGTTTAGCTCTCTCACCTGCAGAAAGGCCAAGTGCGGCGGGCATGCTCGACCAACAGGCTTCCCGGACAGGCACGCTCCGCAGGCTCCAGAGCTCCAGTTCCAGACTGCGGCCACCCCGCCCCCCCGGGCCCCAGACTTTCCGGCCCAGCTCAGCACGTCCTGCGGCCCTGAGGTCTCTGCGACCACCACCACCAGCCTCTGGCCATCTCGCGGTCACTACGTCCCCAGGACGACCCGCCAGCAGGAATCCTGGGCCCCTCCGGGCATCCCGCGGCCCTCCAGTCGCCGGGACCCTTCCCGGCATCCTGCCTCCACCACATCCCCGAACCCGGCGCGCCGGCGTCGCCACGCGCCTCCCCCAGGGAGCAGCGGGCTTTCCGGAGGAGCCGCGGGGGACGCGGCCGGGCCCGCTCTGCCCCTCGCCCCGCAAAGTCCCTGCAGCAACGCCACTCCGAGCGCCGTTGCTAGGCCGGCGACATGCCGTCCTCACGCCTGTAGATGACCCGGCGCCCAGAGGGGTGGGTGGCCGACACCAAGCCGCAGCCCAACGCCCCCAGTCCTCACCTTGTAGACGGCCACACAGGCTGATGTGCAGCCCAGGTGAACCCCGATGGCCGCCATGAGGCGGCAGCGCCGGCGGTGGCGGCAACGACGAGTCCGACAGCCGCAACAGCTACCGGCCGCCGAACGGGCCCAGCAGCCACCGCGGAGACTACACGTTCCCGCCCGCCCACTGCGTCCGGTCCGCCGCGTCGGTCTCCCGCGTCGCAGCCAATCAGCGTGAAGGTCCCTCCTTTCCTCACGAGGAGTGGGCGAATAGCGTTAGTGCGCCTCTGCGCGCTCCGCGGGAGCCGCGCCGCGCGTGTGGGAGTGCGCACGCGCCCGCCGGGGAGGGAAAGGAAGAGGCGCCTTTGCTCCGCCCCCTCCCGTGCCCCTTTCGTGAGAGCCAATGGAAGCTGTCAGTTGAGTGGCGTCATTTGTCCTAGCAACCCGGGGCAGATTCTTTCCTAGCCCTAGCGTGGCTGGAGGTGCGCGCGGGTGGCGGCGGCGATTGGAGTTGCGGGCTCAGCATGTGGTGCGCGAGCCCAGCTGCCGTGGTGGCCTTTTGCGCGGGGCTCTGGGTCTCTAGCCCGGTGCCGGCACAGGGCCAGGAGGCCGGGGGGCGGCCGGGGGCCGACTGCGAAGGTGAGCGGTGTGAGCCCTGCTTGCTTGGCGGCGGCACCGCGCGGCAGGCAGCTGTTGTCCTTGGCTTCTCCGGCCCTGGCTGTAAATTACATGTCACCTGGGAAATGCGGGCCCCGTCCCTGGTGCACACAGCCCACGCCTAAGCAAAAGCTGGAATTGGGTCTGGTGACACCTTGAGGCCACGTTCTGGTTTTGCTGTGACTATTAAACTGCTGCGATAAAAGCTGGCGGCTTATGATTTGGGTTAGGTTTTGTGCACACGCTGCTAGACTCAGCTGACCCTGGCGCCAGACTAATTCTGCTGCTTCTAACCGGCGAGACTTGCCCCTCCTTGCACGGAAGACGTCTTTCAAGTCCAAATTAGTTTGTGACTCCCGAAAGGAAAATAAAACATGACACCGAGTTGGGGTGGCTTGAATCTGAGCACATGGCAAACATTTGTTAGGATTCTACAGGTGACAGTTGCTTTGCAAAGGAGTGCAGTAACTCCATAGGTAGGAGAGGAATGCGAAAGAACAATCCCTTTGCTGTTGTTGGTCACGGTGTCTCAGCTGTGGACTCGAACTCAGAGCACAAGCTCTGGGGCTGTTGCACCTGGGTCTTGCAAAATCAGCGTGCTTCACTTTAGAGAGCTGTTCAGAGAAAAGAAGATAAATAGCTTTGCTAGCCCTTTCCTCCTGGACTACTATAGCGCTCACTTCATGTTTCATTGAAAATGATTACTTTTAAGTGTATATCCCCTGAGCTTGAGAATCGATCCCCGCTGAACAGGAAATTGTAGGCTCACAATGTATGTTTAAAGAACGGATGAGTTTAGTCTGTACAATAAATAAAGTCTTAATAATTAGAGGCCAGCTTTCTGTTAGCCCTGTGATAATTAATCGTTTTTTTCTCCAGAAATTTAAAATATCTACATGATATTTTAAACTTGGCATAGACATTTGTTTAGCTAAGTTATAATTTTGCTTAAAAGTGTCATAGAATTGTATCCTATACAATTAAAGCCAAATTTGTGAGGCACAGTCGGTGGATTTGATGAGTCATCAGTAATTTATTTTCTGGAGCTTCTACCTAAAAATGTTTCAGAAGTGACAGCATCTCGGTTAATTAAATGTGAAGTTTATGCTATCTTTCCTAAATTTATTACAGCATGTTGTGATTACTAACTTGCGTATCTGACTAACCTGTGTATTTCTTTCATTTGTTAGGTAAAGAGGTTGCATAATCACAGAGGAAGGAAATATTAGTTTGGGGACAAAAAAAAAAAACTAGAGTCTAGATATGGCTCTATTACTGTTTATGAGCCTTTCTTATTTGCAACTTAATTTCTCCTGAATGTGTAAGATTAAAATGCTATATATTATGTGTACTAGAGCAAAGTTAAAAAAAATAAATAAAGATGGTTCATGAGCCACCTCAGATCTACTGATGTGTCTTGTTAAGTTTACAAAGTATTTTGAAAATATTTAAGTTAATCAGTTACATTTTAGAATTGGGAGAGTTCATATAAAAGTTCAGATTTCTGGCTTTTTTCAGAAAACCAGATGACCCAATAAGACTGGCCCATGTGGCCATGTAGTAAGAATTGGTTGTGCCTGTTCTTTTTAGAAACCATATGTGCTCCCTAGGTCTTGAGGGTGTTTTTTGTTTTGTTTTGTTTGGTCTCGTTTTTTAGCTTAGACTCAAATTGCTTAACTCATTCATTTTCCTTGCCTGTGGATATTTAAATTTGTGAGCCCTGTGTTAGGTAACGTGAGGCTTACTGGAAACATGTAAATATTTCTGGATCTCTTTAAAAGGATTATAATATTATCGCACTATTTAAACAAAAAACTGCAATGTAAAAGAAAAGCGTATGGTTATCTGAAGTTGTTATAGCAATAAGACATGCCAGGAACCTTAAGTTACTAATTTGTGTATTGATTTATGATTCTCTTTGTGTAAGTCCAAGGAATGAGTTTCCCTTCTCCCCTTGACTTCTCTCCTTTTCAGAAACTTTCTTCCCTTGAATGCAGTGACACTACTTTCTTCCTCGCCTTTGCTTCCTGTTTCTGTGCCCACTTGTCCAAAGTATCTTTGTGGGCTTCCAATCCTCTAGCCGTGGCTTAAATATTAGGATTTTCCAGGGTTCTACCCTCTGCCCTTATCTCTTCTCAGTCTACACAGTCTTTCTTCTGTGCAATCTAAATCAATTTACCTATAGTCTGATAAATCCCCAAACCTTTGTGTCCAACCTGCCTCCTTTCTAGAGTTCTAGACCTTGTTTCCAATTGACTGCTGAACACCCTCCTCCCCTCAGATACTCTATGCATGAAACTCAACACGGTCAAAACCCAAAGTCATCATCTACTCCCCTCTTAACAACTCCAAACCTGTTATGCTTATGGTGAAGTATGGATCCACCACCTGGTAAACTAGCCTTGGATTCCAGGCTAATCTTTCTCCCTTTGCCCTGATAGCCAATCAATCACTGTGTCCATGGATCCTACCTCCAGACTGACTCTGCTCCTTTCTCCTTACCCAGGTCCAATGCCTTGTTACTGACCTTCACCATTTTTACCTTCTTTGCTGCCACAAAAGCATTCTTCCTGCCACTTGTCTCCCTCCGACATGTCTAGTCTCCTGGCAGGGGTGTCATGTGACTTCCTTATTTAATATCTTTCATGATTTCCCAATTTCTTCCAGGGGCCTCTCCTTTGTTTTCCCACAGTATCTAGTACACTTCCATTGTTTAGTAATTGTTTTGGTCTCCCCCATGCAACTGTGCACTCTGAAACTCAAGACTGTTTCTCTCACCAGATTATTTCCAGCACCTACTATAGGGCATGGCATCTGGTAGGCACTCAATTTGCTGAACAAATGTGTGCGTATATATGGTGGTAAAATTTTGTGTGTCTTTTAGTGGGTCACATGTATACCTTGAAACGCACAAGAATTTCTAATTCATCACCTACCTAGACGATACATGGGCAGAGTGGCCGTTGAAGTGTAGGAATCATATGAAGGTATATAGTGGGAAGTAGGGTAAGAGCTATGAGGCACTGGGGTGCTGGATTGTAGGAAGACAAGAATTAGAGGTCACTTAGGAGACTCTGATGATTGTTTCTGCCCACTTGTAGCATTGGTCCAAACAGTATAAATAAAAACAATTTCACACATAGTCATGTCATAAGGAAATTGCAGAACACGAGAGAAAAAATAATAAAAAAAAATCTTAAAAATATCCGGAGGGAGGGGTGGGTAAAGATTGATAACCTTCAAAGGAATGGCAATTAGACTAACAGATGATTTTTTTTTTTTTTTTTTGAGACAGAGTCTCACTTTTGTTGCCCAGGCTAGAGTGAGTGCCGTGGCGTCAGCCTAGCTCACAGCAACCTCAAACTCCTGGGCTCAAGCGATCCTTCTGCCTCAGCCTCCCAAGTAGCTGGGACTACAGGCATGCACCACCATGCCCGGCTAATTTTTTGTGTATATACTTTTAGTTGGTCAATTAATTTCTTTCTATTTTTAGTAGAGACGGGGTCTCGCTCAGGCTGGTTTCGAACTCCCGACCTTGAGCAATCCGCCCGCCTCGGCCTCCCAGAGTGCTAGGATTACAGGCGTGAGCCACCGAGCCTGGCATAACAGATGATTTTTTAAAAGCAACAAGGAAAGGCCCAAAGTCAGACAGCTAGTAAGGAGTCAAGCTAGGATTCGGACATAGATGGTTTAATTTCAGAGCCCTAACACTGAATCTCTAACGGTACTGCCTTCTGGGTGTAGTGCTGGGAACCAATTTCTTTAGGAAAACATAAATAAAATTGGTACAGTGAAGGACTACACATTCATGAACTTGATTTTAAGCATTTTACCATTATCTTTTTGACAAAATTGTAGCTCTTTTCCTGTAGGTGGCATTATTATGTTTTCCAAATACTGCTGTATTCTTTTTGGGCTCTGGCTAATTGCTTAATTGAACAGTAATTTCACTTTAAAAGATTAAATTCAATTTAATTAATATTACTAAGTATTTTACTGAGCATATTAGGGGGGGTCGTAATAATCAAATACATCATGAGTTTTTTTGAAACAAATTAGGAAATATTTCAAACATAACAGAAAAATTATATATGGTATATATACTTAGCATCTAGATTAAATGTTAATATTTTTCCGTATTTGACACCATTCTCTCTTTTAAAAAAAACCCAAAACTATTAGCTGCAGCTCAGTCCAATTCTCTTTTCTTCCGGTCATTTTCAGAGGAAATTTCAATTCAGAAGTAAATGTGTGGTTTCCATGAATTTTTAAAAAATCTTTTACTGTAAATATATAGGTATATAACTGCAAGTTTAATAATTTACACATGTTGTAATTATGATATATTTAAATTTGTTCCTATCACTTAATTTTGTGAGTTTTTAAACAAGTATTGTGCTTTGTCTTTGTTTATTTTTTCTCTTTCTTGCCTTCTAGTGGACTGGCAAAGTTTTTAAAATCCCTCCCTCTGCCCCCTGAACCAATACAGATTTAAATAATCTATATATTTTTAGCCATTACCCTTACATTTTTAGCGTGCTTAATTGGCTAAAAAGCAATATGACTTAATACTATCTCTTTAACTCTCCACCTAGATAATAAAAGACCTTAGGAAGTTTAACTTGAATTCTCCTTTGCTTCTATGTTGCAATTGTACCATATTTGGGTTTTACCTTATGTTTACACCACTATATGTTCATTATTTTTGTTTATACAGGTCATCTTTATTTAAATCTTCTTTGCCATTTTCTTTTCTCATAAAGAAAAGAAAAGCTCAAAAAGCTTTCAGTTTATGGTATACATTATATTGTCCCAAAACATAATCAATCATACTATAGGTTACTTATTCATTTTCTTTTAAAATCTGATCTTTCTTCTTTGCAGGATACAAAGTGAAGACAAAAACATCTTAACTTTTATAGAGTAGAGGCAAATTCGCAGGCTTTCTAATAAACATTTGCTTTCTTTTTTTTTTTTTTTTTTTTTGAGACAGAGTTTCGCTTTGTTGTCCAGGCTAGAGTGAGTGCCGTGGCGTCAGCCTAGCTCACAGCAACCTCAAACTCCTGGGCTCAAGCGATCCTTCTGCCTCAGCCTCCCGAGTAGCTGGGACTACAGGCATGTGCCACCATGCCCGGCTAATTTTTTTTTTTTTTATATATATATCAGTTGGCCAATTAATTTCTTTCTATTTATAGTAGAGACGGGGTCTCACTCTTGCTCAGGCTGGTTTTGAACTCCTGACCTTGAGCAATCCGCCCGCCTCGGCCTCCCAAGAGATAGGATTACAGGCGTGAGCCACAGCGCCCGGCCTATTTGCTTTCTTTTTAATTAAAATTCTCTCCACTGTATACAGAGTCTGTAGTTGTATTCGATTGTAACAGAAAATCTTTCACAATACTCGGACATGTGTATGCACATGAATTTGGAAATAGAACAATATGTTGTCATATATACTTATAGTCACTTTATTTGAAAAAAAGTATTTAAGATGGTATACAGAAATGCAGAACCGGCCGGGCGCTGTGGCTCACGCCTGTAATCCTAGCTCTTGGGAGGCCGAGGCGGGCGGATTGCTCAAGGTCAGGAGTTCAAAACCCAGCTGAGCGAGACCCCGTCTCTACATAATATGAAAGAAATTAATTGCCAACTGATATATATATAAAAAAAAAAATTAGCCGGGCATGGTGGCGCATGCCTGTAGTCCCAGCTACCCGGGAGGCTGAGGCAGAAGGATCACTCGAGCCCAGGAGTTTGAGGTTGCTGTGAGCTAGGCTGACGCCACGGCACTCACTCTAGCCCGGGCAACAAAGCGAGACTCTGTCTAAAAAAAAAAAAAAAAAAAAAAAAAAAAAAAAAAGAAATGCAGAACCCACATCCATGCACTTAGAAGCATATACAAACACAAGTGTTATGATACTGCCTAGGCACTACTTAGAATCAATTTTACAACAAAACTCAAGCTTGACTTCCTGTTTGCTAACGTGTTTCATTATTAAATTAATCGAATCAAATGAAAATAGTTTAAACTATTTGAGCTGTCTAGTTTGTGTATTAGAGGGATCGATAGATCTTGCCTCATTTACCAGATGGGTAGATAAGACACCTGGTCACCTGGGCATGGGGCACAGTGCCAGTCACCCGGTTTTAGTTAGTGCCATGAATTAAGAGGAAAACTAAAACCAAGGGCCTAAGAACTCTCCACTCTTCCTCACTGTGTTTCCCCAGGATTCTTTTTCTAATATTAAGGCCACTTTTTTTCCAGCACACGCTTTTGGCCTAAGTTTCCTTTGGACCTGCATGGTGCAGACACTTGCCCATCTGGGAAAACCACCTCCTCCCATGGCAGGTTGGCCTGATGGATAAATGTGTGGGCCCAGAGTCAGACCACCTGGGATCTAATACTGTCCCTACCACTTACTGGGCAAGTCCATTGACCTTTCTTTGACTCAGTTTCTTTTTCTGTAAAATGAGGATAGTAATGTATCCACATCATACTTTCGTCCTGAGACTTGAGTGAGTTAAAATAGAGCCACTGAGTGCTTAGAACAGGGCCAGCATCTTTAGCACCCAACAGATGTGAACCATGATGATGGTTGTTATTGCCTGGCTCCATCTCTTCTACTAGCTCTGGACACCAGGGCTGAATATGATTGTTGTTCAAATAAGGGTTTCACTTCAGGGTCATGATGATAGAACATAGAGACTTATGCAGACTACCAAGAGGCGTCATTCAAGATTTTTATTCAGGTTTTCGTCTGTGCTTAAAACTAAGCTGTCCCAAGACCATATCCTTTAGAAGGCTGTATTTTCTGTTAGGTTTCACCAAATTTTGTGGAAAAGTTTTCATTTTAAGTGAAACTTGGTTCCAAAGATTGATCGATGAAGTGATTCATTAAGCGCACATTAAGTAGCAACAGGCCTGAAATCATTCTTAGAGTTTAAATCCATTGTCACAACACATTGACCCATTCCCACTTTTTAAAATGTGGTCAGTGGGTCATAAACATAGGTGTGGTAGTGGTTAAGTTGTCCATACAGACATATCTCTGTGTTCTTTCTAGTATGTAAAGAATTCTTGAACCGATTCTACAACTCCTTAGTAGACAGAAGAATTAACTTTTCGCTGGATACCATAGAGAAAGAATTGATCAGCTTTTGCTTGGATGCCAAAGGAAAAGAAAACCGCCTGGTATGGTAAATCTTCACCTTTTGTTTTTCCCGTGTGCTTAAATAAAACTAATAATTTCGTTTTTCATCTTAGACTCAATGTCGTCCTACTTACGTGCTTGCCTCAAGCTTGTTCATGGCAGACAGCAAGCAGAAATCGGTTTTCCAGTGAAATGGAGCCCTATGTATTTTCATCCAGAATATATTATCCAGCTTCATTTACTTTCTGAGTATACCATGGACAACCATTTCTATGTTTTCTTAAATGAAATTATAAAATTGAATTCCTAATGAGAATTTAAGAGTCCTGAGTTAAGAGTGGGTAGATTTTCTGTTTCTTGCCATGACAATTAGTCAAACCGATCAAAACATTTTATATTATTACTTATACATAACTAATGAAGTATTTCTGTTTTCTTATAATGGTATTTATGTGGTGTTTCCTGGGTATACACCGATGGCTTGTTTCAGTATACTGTTTTATATCACTGAATTCCTTTTCCAATTTCAATTCCTTTTTGCCTAAAATTGTCATGTTGAAATTGTCAGTTACATCTGCATTGTTGACTGCTCACCATGGACACATTGTAAAACTCATGTCATTTATTTGTACTATTAAGTTTTATATTTTTAAATGTAAAATTCTTAATTCAGAGAGTTTGAAAAGCAGTATTGCACAATGGAAAAGAGCATGGACTCTAGAGCCCAAATGCTGGATTTTATAATTCTGTCTCTTCTACTTGCTAGGTGGGTGACCTTCAGTTGGCTTGGGTATAAAATGGGGATAATAATAGCACTTCACAGGATCGTTGTGAGATGTAAATAAATTCATACCTTTGAAGCACTGAGAGTGACTGGCACAGAGAAAACATTTAGTAAGTGTTAGCTCTTCCCATTAGTCTTTTAACACCATGTGAATGTCAGGGCACTTCTAATTAGGATGATCACGAGAACGGAGTCACCAGTTTCCTGGTGTCTTCATCAGCAGGGGTTAAACTTCAATAGCTGGACCATGAAAACTAGGTTAACCTCTTTTTCATCCCTCCATACTGTGTTACTTGCTGTTTTCATTGTCTGGGAAACTAAATTCTCTCCCTTTTCCATCAGTGTTATTATCTGGGAGCCACCAAAGACGCAGCCACGAAGATCCTAAGTGAGGTCACACGTCCGATGAGTGTGCACATGCCTGCAGGGAAGATCTGTGACAAGCTGAAGAAGATGGACAGTCAGATCTGTGAGCTGAAATATGGTATCACAGAGCCCGGCGTTCTTCCCAGCACATCCAATGGATTGCCAAACTTCCAAACTCAGGGCCGTGTTTTCTAAAGAGTCAGTGTTAGAAGCAAAGAAATTCTCCACTCACCAATTAGGTTGCTGGGCTGACAAATGGTGCCTAGTGCCATCTGAGTTTATTTGAGAGAAGAGAAATGAATAGTATTGGCATAATCAGCATTAGGTTAAAACTGCCACCCCCAAACTGCCACGTTGAAACTCACAATGTAATAATGCAATGTCAGCTACGTATGTCAAGGAGAATTTCAAGATACAAAGAGAGCAGCTACTCGTGGTGATTTAGTTCTTGGTAACCTATTAAGACAAAAGTTGCATCTATTCAAAGGTGATACGAGGACTTTGACGTTGTAAACGTGATTATATCTTTCTTCCTGGGCACGTCTACCATTCCGCCAGCTTTAAATTTTAGGAAATAGGTTATTCACATCAAATCAGGTTTTGCCTGATGAAATAGCCTATCAGAGGGTGCCTAAAATAAACAGCAAGGAAAGGAAGGAGATGTTCTATTTAAAACGTTATCCTTGGCCTTATAAATTTCACATGGATAGATCTATTCTTATAGTAAGGATTTATATCTGGACCAGACTTTGGGGTCTGATAAAAGGATGAGGAATCCCTCCCTCAGTCCATCCTTGACAGCTGAAATTCTCCCAGGACAGACTCATTTAAACTACCTAAGTCATTAGCATCCAACTCTAAGTTATCATAGTCTTATTTTCCAACACAGCTGTGTAATGTGCCTATGCATCATAGCTACATAGTTAGCTTTAAATAGGTTTGAGATCGGAAGCTACCAAACTATTTCTCAATTTGTCAAGCACAAGACCTAACTCCCAGGGTAGTTATTATGGGTAGCCTTCCCTTTTTATTGGCTTCTAAAGTAATGAAGTAGAGGCAGAAATCACTGAGTCCACATAAACAACATTTGCAAAAGGGACGCACCAATGCAGATTCATTCATTCAAAAATTTTATTTTGAATAATTTCTCCTATACGCAAGGGATCTTAACAGAGCTCCTTAATAGAAAAACTAATCGGATATCGAGAAGAAATGAATGCTTAATGTTTTGGCAACACCGGCCACTAGAGGCCCCTGGGGAGCTGTGAACTAGTTTTAATTTTTGTATGGACCTATTTTTTTTGTTGTTGATAGTTTTAGGACATCACAGAGGTTTTCCCCTTTTTAAAATTAATGTGAGATGCCAAGTTCTTTAGGAGAATTCAAACTGACACTTGCAAAAAGAATTTTTCTCCTTCCACTTATCTTGAATAGATTAATTATTGTACATTCTCCCTACCTTATTGTTGTTAGAAAAGATGAGTCGAATAGAGGCCTTTGTGCTGCGGGATATTCATAATTTGGGCTATAAAAGTTTTTACTTTTAAAGGACAGTGATGTCCAGATTCCTGTAGGTCAAAAAAAAAAATAAAATAAAATAAAGGTCAGTGATGAAATTAAAAGCAAGATAAGTGCAAAGTTGGAGTATGTTTTCAATTAGGAAGGTGTCATTTGGTTTTTGACCTGAAAGAACATTTTCGTTTGCTTTTTTATTGTTTACTTTTGTTATTTATTCTTTCTTTTCTTTCCTTTCCTTTCCTTTCCTTTCCTTTCCTTTCCTTTCCTTTCCTTTCCTTTCCTTTCCTTTCCTTTCCTTTCCTTTCCTTTTCTCTTTTCTTTTGAGAAAGTCTTGCTGTGTTGTTTGGGCCAGAGTACTGTGGCATCAGCCTAGCTCACAGCAACCTCAAACTCCTGGGCTCAAGTGATCCTCCTGCCTCAGCCTCCCAAGTAGCTGGGACTACAGGCATGCACCACCATGCCCAGCTAATTGGTTTTTTTTGTATTTTTTAAAAATATTTTTAGTTGTCTAGCTAATGGCCTTATATTTTTAGTAGAGACCAAGGTCTCACTGTTGCTCAGACTGGTCTTGAACTCCTGACCTTGAGTGATCCTCCCTCCTTGGCCTTGGGGAGTGTTTAGGATTACAGGTGTGAGCCACCACGCCCAGCCTGTTTTGTAATTTAAAAGGATGAGAAATCCCCATAAAAATGTAAGGGTTCTGTGGAGTACTATGTATAGCTGATCCTCCCTCATTAAATAAGGGCTTTAACATCCAATTTTTGAATTAGAACACACTTACTAAAATTTTTTGACAAATTGCTTGACAACTTCTAAGTTTCTAATGTTTTACAATCTTCTATTATTCAGGTGAAAAAAAAGGGAAAGAATTTTTAAAGACAAGTCAAGCTGAAAAAGTCCTGGGCTGCCACTACTGGTTTAATAAGTAAACTTAAAGGTTGTATTTTTGTCCAAAACAAATACCTGGCAGGCAGGAGCGGTCAAAGAGAGTTTCCTTTGAAAGAGGAAAAGTTTAACCCTTTCTGATAGGTAAATGATAATTATTAGTGTATTATAGATGAGCTTATTTTTTTTTTTCTATTTTGGGGTCGGCATTGGAGAAGTAGCTGAGTTCTTGATATTTTCTGCCCATAATCTGTAAATAAGGAAACAGTAGTCTTGCTAGAGGAGTTAGATGTTGATAACAAGTATTACTGGCAAGAACTGTAGAAGCCAGGTTGGCTGGCACCGAAGCACTAGCATTGGAGAGGTGGGTAGACCGCAAAGGGCTGTCAGTGAACACAGAAATGATTTAGTAATCCTATTTATTAGGGGTGGGGCGGCAGGTGAGTTTAAACAGAGATCCCAAACAATTCAGGTTCAATGAGCATGCTCCTAATTTTGACCATCTGTTTGGGATTCTTTTTACATTTTTATTTAAAACTTGATAGTGTTTTGCCAAGTGTTTGCTCATCTGCTTTAAGGAAAACATATCTTCGTAGAAAAAGTGAATCACAGCTTGCTGCTTTTTATGGTCTATGGCTTTCGGTTGGCCGCAAACCAAGGCCATCCCAAAGGGACCGACTGCCTTTTATGGCTTTCCGTGTTACCTTGTTTGATGCAAGTATAATCTCTTGGAAAGAAAGTCAGATAAAAACACCAACTATTCCAATAGTTTTGTTTATACACTTGTCCCTCCGTACTTGTGGGGCATTGGTTCTAGGACCCCACTCGGATGCTAAAATCCTTTTGCACAAGTGTTTGCATATGACCTATGCACATAGTCTCATATGCTTTAAATCATTTCTAGATTACTTATAATACCTGATAGTATGCAAATGCTATGTCCGTAGTTGTTATACTCTCCTGTTAAAATTGTGTTGTTATTTTTTTGTTTCGAATACTTGTGATCCATGGTTGGTTGAATCCACGGATGTGGAACTCGCGGATACAGAGAGCGGTTGCGCTACATTTTTCTTAGAGGGTTCTTTTGGTTTTGTTTTTTAATCGTGCTTTTCCCTTTTGGCATTTAGAAAAGAAACTGGACTTGGCCTCCGCCGACCTGGGGAAGATGAGAGTAGCAGAGCTGAAGCAGATCCTTCGTAGCTGGGGGGAAGAGTGCAGAGCTTGTGCCGAAAAAACCGACTATGTGGATCTGATCAAAGAACTGGCCCCCAAGTACACAGCCACACCCCCCAAAACAGAGCTCTGACCTTGAACCTGGCACGCCATGACTTGTGATTAGAAAAGAAAAGGACTGTCTAGGGTATGGACATGTTCATGAAGGATAACTAGGAACTGCGCTATATTTGGTCTCATACTTTTTGTGTCAATTATTATACCTCCGAATTTTGTTACTTTATGAGTTTACTGATATGGGACATTTGCAGGGAACCAACACTTAAAAGTACTTTTCTCATGCTTTTCTTGGAAGGCCTATGTAAATGACCATTGCCTGTCTCCTGAAACTGGGAAAAGTGAAAGTGCTGAGAAATTGATGAAGTGAATTGATTCCAAGAGGGAAGAGAATGCGCGAAGGCTCTTTGCTGCACATGATTTAAAAATGTATTTGACTAGGACAAAAGAAGCAATGATTAGCTTATCTGACACACAACTTCAACCCCAAATAATTACCTAACATAATCAAACTTTTTTTTTTTAAAGTCAATTTTTTATTTTCGTCTGCAAATCACTCTACATGCTAGTTTTCTTTGGGGTCAGCAATGGTTGGGCAGGACTACTGGAAGTTGGTATTTCCCATCTGAAGAAAACCTACTTAAATCTGCTTGAAGAAAATAGATCAAGAATCCATATAAGTATACCCAATGTTTTGACCAATTGTAACAACACTTGCATTGCACCTAGCACGCTGGGAGGCCAAGGTGGGAGAATCGCTTGAGGTCAGGAGTTCAAGACCAGCCTGAGCAACAGCAAGACCCTGGTCTCTACTAAAAATATAAAACATTAGGTGGGCATGGTGGCACATACCTGTAGTCCCAGCTACTTGGAAGGCTGAGGCAGGAGGGTCGCTTGAGCCCTGGAGTTTGAGGTTGCTGTGAGCTAGGCTGATGCCATGGCACTCTAGCCCAGGCAACAGAGTGAGACTCTGTTTCAAAAAAAAAAACAAAAAAAAAACAAACCAACAGTTGCATTACTAATTGAACCAAGTTCAAGGTCTTTTTTCTTTCTTCATGGTCCTATATCAGACAAACTTTTGATAGAAGATTAAAGCATATTAAGAAAACCTGTAGGCAATATGGAACTCTATGGTTCTTAATGCTATTTTACTGGCTTTAAGATTGTCAAATTATTTTTGGTTCCATTTTGTGGCCATATAAGAATAAGAAACCCAAGGTAGAAGTGGTTGCCCCTGTATGGCAAGTGGAGGTGAGAAATAACTGTAAAACATTTCCTTGGAACTTTCTGGAGTGGTGGGAATGTCCTATATCTTGATTGGGGTGATGGTTACATGGGTGAATAGGATTGTTAAACTTATCTGGTAGTACAGTTAAGATCCGAGCATTTTATTGTATGTAAATTATCAGAGAAAAACCACTGTAGAAAAATTATTGAAAATTAAATAAAATTAATTGATTCAAAACACCTTGTTCGTTCAAAGAATTGCATTTACTACCTGGGAGTCATTTTGGGGAGTAGAGGAGAAATTTTCCAGAATGAAAGTATACATTGAAGGTATAATTTTCACCTTTAAATGCTGCAGGTGTAAATGAATTTTCAGCTGGACATCTGGGATATAACTGAACTTGACAGAGAATTTGTGGTTCCTAAGGAGAAATGTATATGTAGCCATGTGACTGAAAAATGAGAATAAAAAAGCCTTGGTGTAAACAAATGGCCAAAAGTGGTTGTGTTTCTGGATTTTGGCATCTTGATCATGGTGTGTAAAACACCTACTTTATTTTGAACTACATTTTTTAAAAGTCCAAAATTAGTTTGTTTTTTTTTTTAATTTCTTCTAGCCTTTATGTTTGTTTTTCTTTTTGCATTTTGAACCTATTGAGCACTGTGTTGTTTGAAAATAGTATGATTGATGTCTGATCTCAAAATTGGGTCACACTTCTGTGTCATTTTTTTTTTTTTTTTTTTTTTTTTTTTTTTTTTCTTTTTAAATTAAATGGGTCTGTGGAATGTGTCATTTTTTTCTGGATGAAAATCTAGGTAATAGGAACCATGCTCAGCAGGTCCTTGAAACCAGTGGTGTTTAGTCTAGTTTTTAAAGGAGAATTTACTCTACAATGATGCTTCTCAAACTTCTTGAACTGTGCATCCAAATCACCCAGAAATCTTGTTGAAATGTGAGTTCTGATTTGGTAGGTCTGGGGTGAGGCCTGAGATTCTGTATTTCTTTTTATTTTTTTAAATTAATTGATTAATTAATTTTTGAGACTTGGTCTCACTCTGTTTCCTGGGGTAGAGTGCAGTGGCATCATCATAGCTGACTGCAACTTCAAACTCCTAGGCTTGAGTGATCCTCTAGCCTCAGCTTTCCAAGTAGCTGGGACTACAGGTGTACATGCCACCATGTATTTTTCTATGTTTTGTAGAGACAGTGTCTCACTATGTTGCTCAGGCTGGCCTAGAACTCCTGGCCTCACGTGATCCTCCTGCCTTGGCCTCCCAAAGTGCTGGGATTACAGGCACGAGCCATCATACTTGGCCTGATTCTTCATTTTGTACTCTTCCAGGGACCACACTTTCAGTGGCAAGGGCCGAGGTCAGGGATCCTGTGATTGACATATTTTTTTCCTTTTTCACTGCCAACCTAAATAACAGAGACAGGCCCTCTAAAGGAAAATATTAATATGTTTATCTGGGAATAGAGCATTGCAATGGAAACATGCATGCCGTAGGAAACTATGTATGTATTCAGGGAAGTAAAGGAAGATAAAGGCTTTTAAAAGGAAAAACAAATGAGGATTGCATAATTGTTTTGAAATAATTCTCCTTGGCTACCAAGATCAATAACAAGGGTGACACCAGTCTGAGGTTGGACATGCAGTTGCTGGGCACATGTCCTTTGCAGAAGTATTTTTTATGCAAGGTTGTGCTTTTTGCAGTCTTTTATGATAGCTTTTGTTGCCAGGCAGACAAGCCTGAGAACCCTCCCTTCAGGGTCTCCCAGCTCTATTTGTCAGGGTTTTCTTACCATGAGTGACTCCATTTTGATTTTGATGACTTTCACACCAGTCTCAATCAGTTAGGTTTTTGAAAGAGGTGAATACAGCAATAACAACAACGACAACAAAACCCAAAAACCACAAGTCCAGATGGTAGCTCGTCCAGAATGAATGTGGCAGCTCCATAAAGTTTTTAGGGACTCAGATCTAGTCTTTTTGCTTCACATCCTGGTGGTAGTTTCCATTTTTAACCCAGGGTCCAAGTTGGCTGCTGGAATTCCTGATTTCAGAGGGGGAAGGGATGAAGGGACCTGCCTGCAACCTGAGCCACCTTGTTTAAGGCAGCCCCACCCCCACCCTGGAGTGGCACTTAACACTCTGCTTCTACACCATTGACCAGAATTTAATCACATGTCAAACTTGTCTGCAAAGGAGTTTGGGAAATAACTTCATTTGGTTGGGTTCATTGCTGCCCAAATAAGATCAGGATTTTTTTTTTTTTTACTGAGGACGATGGAGGGAAATAGTTTGTGGCCACAAACCATCTATTTTGGCCACATAGTATAAATTTTTCCTTACCCTGAATCTTAGTTATAATTCCTGGTTATCATACCCTAAATAACTCTTCCTCCTCCTTGTTACTTGCATCTTTCATACAAGTTTTTCCTTCTTTCTTTTTGCTTTAACAAGAAGTAGCTACCACTTTTCTATTTTATTTTTATTTTAAATTGCTTCTTCTTTCGTTGTGCATGGGTTTGTGTGTGTACGTGCATTTTTTTTCATGTGTGATTTTACCCCCGAATCCATTAGCACATAAGATTTAGAAATCAGACATTTTGACAAAAGTGACAAAACTCTGGGCTAAAAACAAAAAAAAAAACCTGTCATCTGAACAGCAGCAGGCTGGGACAGGAATCATTCCTGATCTAGTCTAGGTTTAGAAAATTCCATGCAGACGACCCTTTAATTTGGTTCTTCAATACACACGGGGGACCAGATATAACATTTAGAGCACAACTTAAAAGTTGTAGTTCCTCTGAATACAGCTGAATAATTTGTAATCCACATTTCACTAAAAAGCTTTAAATATGAACCGAATTAGCTTGGCATATAGGATAAGAAAATATTTAATTAGTAAATCTCTAAACAGTACAGAAGTTTGTGATCCAAAGGCCCCATCTATGGGTTTGAGCAGCTCTTGATGAGTGTCCTTCTAAGCAGATAAATGTGTACTTTTAGCCCATGAATCTCATCTAAAAGAAATGATTGTCAGGTGGCCATGCTTGTGTGTTTGAAACAGAACAATTCCACCAATCCTCTTGGGTATGCTATCATTCTGAATTTAGAAACTTTTTTTCATTAGTCTCCATCATGTATTTTATTTTTTTATTTATTGTTTTATTGTTTTATTTTTTTTGATAAGACACTAGTCACTGAAATCATGTATTTTAATTTTTTCTCCTTTTTGTTTTAGCATAGGGATCTCAAATTTATACTATCAGCAAAGGATTCAAATTAGAACCATTATTGCATCAAGTTATCTTTCCCCTGAGAATATTTTTTCCCCAGTAACATAAAGATCAATAGAAAAGGGAATGAGTAGTATGTATTGTTTCACAATTGTTTGTTTTTGATATGCTTTTCACTGGCCAGAACTTTGAGAATTGGGATCGGGCAGGTACTCAAGGGGCTGAATTTCCAACTCTCAACAGTGGACTGTGTGAGATCAATCGATCAAAACTTTAAATGTGGTTGTCGACAGAGGTTGGGCTGTTAGTTGTGAGTGAAATGAAACTGCTTTAAGGCACATGCTTTAAAGGTGGATTTTTAACTCCTGGCTCAGTGGCTCTCAACCCTGCTCTGTGTCGAAGGTACCTGGGCAATGTTTAAAAATCTCAAAGTGCAGGCTGCACCCCAGACCAATCACTTCAGTCTCGGGGTGGTGGGAGGGAAGGGAGAGAGTCCCAGGTGCCAGTGTCTTTTTTAAAGCTTCCCAGGTGACTTCAATGTGGAGCCACAGTTTGAGAACCACTGTCTTAGGCCCTCTGCATATGATTCTGACAACTGTCCCCCAACGTGAGGATGACTCAGTATATGAAGCTCAGGTCATGCATTTTCGCTCTCCCAAAGTGTGGTGGTTGGCCTTGCAAACTAATGCACTTGACCTGCAACTGCTGCATTTTCTGTGAACATACACCTGCTTATTAAGACACTGTTGTCTATACTGAGTAATGCATGGATTAACCCACAGTAAGAACAAAAAAAGAAAAAGAAAGAAAAAGAGCACATAAAGACAGAATATAGGCCCACACAATCCATTACCAAAATCCTTGGAGCTACATGTTCTTGGAATTAATGATTTTTCAGATTTTAGAAAGGTACTACGATGCATATACTAATATTGCATAATCTCGCTCCCGCCCCAAACAGGGCTTGGGGCAGCACCCTGAAACACCCTCCCATAAATCTGGGTCAGGTTTTGTCACCAGAAGAATTCAGGTCACATAAATGAGTCACATACAAGAAGTTTCGATTTTAGAATTCTTTTGGGATATTGAGATCTTGGGTTAGAGATTGTGGAAATGCCATTTTGCAGCGACTCTAGGTGTTATCAATCACTAATTGAGACTTTGGGCCCTTTTTTACAAAACCTCTACTTCCCACCTTCCATAGAGTTCTAGAAGTTGGAAAGTTCTAGAAGTTCTAGAACCTGGGGCCTCAGAAAAGCAGGACTCCAAGTGCCTTGCTTTTTTCTTTTGGCCACTTGCCTTCCCAGAGCACAGAGCAGGGTAGGCATG